AAAGGCCTTGGTCATGGGGTAGATTGTCATGCAAGAACAACAAATGACAATGAGTGTGTGCCTGTTTTTGGCGTGGGTCTATGTGGGGGGGGCACGGCAGGAGAGGAGAATGGGGCTCTCCCAAGCTGCCCTTCCCCACCTCCTAGCTGTGACATGCAGAGGCATCTGCCCCAGTACTGGTGCTCCCATCGACCCAAAGCGCCCTGCCCCTCATGCCGCCCCACCACGACACTACGCCACAGGGCCATGCTGGGGCGGAATCAGGCCTCGGTTCCTGCCGGAGCACACCAGAACGCCGATCCGCCAGTCAGGAGCCAAGGGGGCGGGCACATAAGCCCCGCCCCCTGCTCCCACCAGCCATCAGTTGGGCAACCATGGGGGGAGGTGAAACGTTCCCCGCCTCCCTGAGCCCCTGGGTGGTGGCCTTGGACTCGTAGGGGCAAATTCTACTTCTTGCGTGTGATGCCACTCCGACATCACATGCGAGAGGTCATTCTGGCTCCCCCAGCTCTCGGGAGGGGCTCTTTAAAAAGTTATGGCTGCTGTCGCTGTTCTCGGTGGCAGCTGTGACGCCTCAGAGGGAGGGGCAGGGTGAAACGTTCCCTTGCCTCCCTGAGCCCCGGGGTGACGGCCTTGGACTCGTAGGGGCAAATTCCACCTCTTGAGTATGATGTCCATTCTGGCTCTCCCAGCTCTTGGGAGGGGCTATTTAAAAAGTTATGGACGCCGTTGCTGTTCTTGGTGGCAGCTGCAAGAGGTGCCGCTTGGACATCACACACGAGAGGCCATTCTGGCTCCCCCAGCTCTCGGGAGGGGCTCTTTAAAAAGTTATGGCTGCTGTCGCTGTTCTCGGCGGCAGCTGCAACGCCTGCGCGGGGGGGAGTGGCAGGGCAAAACGTTTCCTTGCCGCCTTGAACCCCAGGGTGGTGGCCTTGGACTCATAGGGGCAAATTCCATGTCTTGCGAAAGGTCATTCTGGCTCCCCCATCTGTCCTTAGGGGATCTTTAAAAAGTTATGGCCCCCACCCCCGCCGCTTTGGTGGCAGCTGCATCCACCATGGGGTGGGGGGACTGCTGAGCTGCCCTCCCTGCCTTTTTCAGGCTCTGGGCCTGGAAAACGGCCTGCAGAGCCACGCCCCACCCTTTCCTCCTTTTTCAAGCTCCGCGCTAGAATGCCAGGCCTGAAAAAGGACCAGCCGAATGTCAGTTTTGGCCCTATTATATCCTATGGGCCATTGAAGTGAATGGCAAAAACATAGGGTATATTCTGGGGGCTGGAGGGGAGGAACTCTGAGGGAGAGGCTCCAAACTCATAGGGTAGCTGCTGGAGCCTCTCCCCAAGATACCAACCAAGATTGAAGAACATTGGACCAGGGGGTCAAATTCTACGGGCCCCCAAACAGGTTGCCCCTATCCCCTCCATTGTTCTCTATAATGGGAAAAAAGTAACTTTGTTTCCCACCATAGAGAACAATGGAGGGTATCTTGGGGAGAGGGTCCAGCAGCTACCCTGTGAGTTTGGAGCCTCTCCCTCAAACCCCCTCTCCTCCAGCCCCCAGAATATACCCTATGTTTTTGCCATTGACTTCAATGGCCCATAGGATATAATGGGGCCGAACTGTGGGAAGCCAATTCAGATCAGAGAATCTGAATCGGCCCGCAGCAGCCTGAATGGGCCATTTCCGGGGGTGCATTCAGTTCAGACTAACCGAATGCATATCCCTCCAGCAGCCAGCTTGCTTGGGCTCTCTGCAGCCTCCTGAGCAAGCCAAGGGAAGGGAAGGTGGTTTAAACCGCCTCTCCTTCCCTCCAGCAGCCGGCTTGCTCGGGCTCCCCGAGCAAACCAAGGGAAGGGAAGGTGGCGGAGCAGCTGGAGACAGTGAGCCTCAGCTCCACAAGTAATGAGCCCCGCCCCCAGCAGCCCTCAGGCTGCTACTGAAAACATCAAACCATCCAAGCAGTTCTGTTGATCATTACCATAAATAGCAAGGTTTCTTCCAACAACTGTTCTATGAGGAAAGTTTAAGAACTCTGTTCCAAGAATGCTGAGAAACCTATATTAATTAATAGATCTATAGATCTATATTCATTAATGGAGAATTTCCCTTAAATCTGAAAAAAATATTCAAAACCTTGAAATATGCCAATATTTCAGGCTCACAGTACAAATTTTTTTTGGGGGGGGGGGGGAATGGTCTCTGAAAATTTATTTCCAAATTTGAAATCTGAGTTCTTTAGATTTGTCAAAATCTCTTGATGGTTTAGGTTTAGGTATATGTTAAATTATGATTATGTGCTATCTGTTGCATAAAGTTCTATATAAAATATTTGAATAGTCATGTATTATCCATTGAATATTCATCATCAATGTTTTGCAGAGAAGAACTTTGAGGGGGAGAGGGAATATTTTTCATCTGTAACTTTCATCCACTTATCCTGATGCTCATGGTTCACCTTGAGCTTCCGTGATTCAATGGAGTCTTTTTTATTTGAAATTGTTCTTCGAAACCTGATCTGTTTTCAGTATTTAATAAAAAAATTAATACAGTTTAAAATAAATCTGGATTTGCCATAACACACAAGATTGCTTCTTGATATTGAACAGCTCTGCTGTCTCATTCATTTGTAAAAACACAGGTGCTTGTTTCCTTTTCAATGCTGCCTTTTGAATCATAATTTCACTCTCTACAGTGTTAATATGCAGTCAGCAAGTTTTCTTTTAAAAGGTCATTAATTCAACAATGCTTGCTTATTTCCTTGACTAAAAACCTTAGTATAATATTCAGTAAATGTTGCTGCAGCATTAACTGATTACAATCTAAATAACTGCAAGAAAATAGCATTAAAGAACAACTGGATTACATTCCCTTTACTAGTTGGTTATGCTATTTGAGACAGCATATGCAGCAGAGTGCTGGACTTAGAGGAAGACTTCAGGCTAAAATTCATACTCCACTGTGAAGTTTATTTAGAGTGCAAGTCTAAGAATGTCTACTCAGGAGTAAACCCCATTGAGTTCAATGGAGCTCACTCTAGTAAGTGTGCAGAGGCAGACTTCAATCATTTCTGTGCTGTCTCATAGCCATAAGATTCCTGGGGTGGTATAAAAGATATCAAAACCCAAAAAAGCCAATAAGATCAACAGCTGTAAAACTACATTGAAACTGTAAGCAGAAACTGCTAGCAGTACAGTGTTCATTTTGGTGAAGGAAGGGGGCAATTTTTACTAATTCTGCCCTCCCAATGTAGACTCCTTAAACCAGCCCCATACTGCTGGTGAAGATCCATAGAGTCCTCCCACAAAGACCAGAATTCCAGGGAGCTCAGTAGGCAGCCACCAGAGGAGGGAGGAAAGTTCCATTCTATGAACTTCACTCTGCTTGCCGAAATTTGGGTTCCACTTCTCAGCAGACAAAATCCTGAATGGTTCAGTTTAACAACATACATAAAATAACAAGATAGAAAGCAAATCTTTTAATTTAGCAGCAATTAAACTTCACATTTTAAACAAGGAAGCGAAACTAACCCCAAATACCTAAGGGGAAATAATGTTTACAGAGTACCTAAAGCCATATAACGATGGAGTTGGCTGAATACTTCCTTTTAAAAAAAGGCCAGACAGACCCAAATCATATCATGAGTAGCTAAGCAGCTCAAGCATAAGCCTCTTTTTAGGGCCAATCTCTCTCAAGAGCTACTGAAAACACAGTTCAAATTAGGGATGCTGCAAATTTTGCTGTGAACACATTCAGTAGTTGAATTTATCATGTTCGAAGGTGGTGATTAGATGTGAGCCAATCACTCAGTCTGCTTGGTTCATGCTGAGCAGTTGCAAATGTCTGCCAAACCAGTTTGCATCAGGTTTCCCAAAACTATTGATGTGCAAGGATGCTGCTGATTCAAACTGATCAGCAGCCATTTGCATCACTAAGGACCACTTGGTCAAACACTAAAGAGTAAGATTTTATTGAAACACAGCATTTATTGATGACTGATTTATAGGATTTCTGAGTGATCTGATTGTTTATTTAAACAATTTCCTGCT